TTGTCGGCAAGCCACCTGGTCCTACGGAATTAATACAGTGTGGTGGTCCAGCAGAGAGAGGTGAGGCCGCGCTGGAGGAACACCCTCTGCATGCAGCCTTCCAGCAGAGCCCAGCCCTCCCTCGCAGGGTGGGAGTAAGCCATGCCTGGCAGGTTCCCCTAAGGAGAGAACTGCTGGAGGGAAGAGGTGGTGTCAGTGTATACACAGGTTGTTTTCACGTTTGGAAAAATTGTAAACCTGATGAGGAGCAAACTTGGCCATTAAGCTTTAGAGTTAGAGATGGGAATCAGTGTTTTCAGCAAAAAAAGACAAAAGCGGAGACCTTGTATATAATAGCTGCAGTGAAGTCTGACGCTGCGGTCTGATTTCATGTCAGTTTAATGAAAAGCAGCAATCATCATGACTTTTAAAAAGTGTATTTAGATTACTGAAACTTTAAGACTTAAATATTTTAATAGAAATTAAATCCTATTGGCTTTGGTTTTAAGTTGGCAGAGGTAACTTTTGCTTCCGCTGTGGTATGAGGCTGAGAATACTTTTTGTAACTGTATGCTTGCTTTTTGCAGTTGATCTTTGTTTATTCAAGTACTAGCTCATTAGGCATTCTGTTAGAAAGTGCAATCGCATCATCTGCTCCCATTGAATCTGCATTTCTGCTGGGTTTTTTCATTTTAAAGGAGTAATGCAGCCTAAAGTTGGCAGGCAAAAAAAGTTACATGTACCTGCAAAACAAAATACAGGTCAGACTTTACAGATTCCTCATCTTCTGATTTAAAGCAGCTAGTATCTGAACTCTATATTTAAAGTTTTAAGAGAGCTGACAATCCTACCTTTGTCATCTCTTCTGAGTATGTTTTGTTAGTAACGCTAGAATGTTGATGAGAGTATTTTTTTAAAATAAATCCCATGTTAAAAAAAAAAAAAAAATCACATTGCTGCTCTTGCTGGATTTAGTTTTGTTTTGTCCCATCCTGAAAGGGAAAGAAGAATGTCTGCAGGTTGTCTAAATTGTAATGGATGTCCTGATGGTCTAATTGCAATGTCTGGTAAGTGCTCTGGGCTGGAGGAATACCAAAATGTGTTAAGTCTGTTTTATAGTAATTCTTTTCCTGGGAGGGGAAAAAAAAAAAACACCAAAAAAAAAATCCCCTGAACTCTTAAATGTTGTATAGAACCTTTTGGAAATAAGGGCGTGCTCCTTAAATTAAAGCAAGACTGAAGTTGATGCTTTGAAATGTGTAGGGTAAGTGAAGACAGTCCCATTGCTGACAGGATCCAAATCATAGAGAAGCGCTAAGCCAGAAATCCGCACTGCTCCTTTTCATTCAAGGAGGCAAATTGCCGTTGCTGATGTTCCTGTTTCCCCTCTCCCCCATGGCAGTGCTAACTAGAGAGGGCTTTGCGCAAGCACCAGCACTGAATGCAGAGTTGAGCACCCTCATCCAGAGGGGATGGTCCAGGGGCTGATTTATGCTGGAGTTTTCCTTCCACTGCTGCTACAACAGGTTGAATTCAAGCAGTCATTTCAATAAAAAATGGTGAAAATGTAAGTGAAGTGTAAAGTTAATACAACCAAGCTTTTAAAATCCTCCCATGTGCCTGAAAGCAGAACTTGCTTTAAAAAAAGGTTTTCTGCATCAGCTCTCTTAAAAGCAGAATTGAAACTGCTTGGGGGGGGATGTGTGTCAACTGAAGCAAAGTCTGAGAAGAGATGGAACCGTGGCTCACTCTCGCTTCCCGTCACAGCATTTGGCATGGTGCGTGTCCAGCGTTGGCTGGTCACTCCAACCATCCCCCTGCCAGCACAGAGGGAATACTGACTGCTTTTCGGGGTTAGCTGCTGTCCCGTTTCCAGTTCCAGCCACTAAAGTTAAGCTTGTCAAACAAATACAATTTTTGTGTTACTTGTTGTTTTATAAAACCGGGTGCCATCTCTTCACAAGCTGTAGGAGGAGACTGTGTACAAAAATGACTATACTGACTGGGGGTTGAGGGAGAGGGAGAATTTCTCTCCCCCCATAAATTGTGTAAAGTTAAATAGAGTATATATTTCTTACAAAAGAGCGTTTCCCCTCCAGAATAGGTCTCACAGGGACATAAGAAATTCAAGCTATAACCCATTGCTGCTGTTGCCCCTTTTCCACTCTTAGGATTTGTTTTTGTTTGTTTTGGATTTTTTTTGTGATGAATTGAAAAACATACCTAGAAGAAGCTACCAAGACTACTGTTTACAGACTGAAAAAATACTGCTTTTATACTACTGGGATCACGAGCCATGATCCTTTTACAGATTTCCTTAACTCCTCTTTGCTTAAAATCAGTGTCTGATGTAGATTAAGGTCAGAAGTCCTACCCTGCTTTGTCTACATACAGGACAAAAATGTACAATGCCTGTTTGTTGCCCACCATTTTTGTACTTTTTAACTGTTCAAAAATTGCATTTATATTTTGCAATCATTGATAATCATGACTTTATTTTAACCGCTAGTAATTGTAGAGGGGGTTTTTTTTGTTGTTGTATCTGCAGCCTTATCTGAATGTTCTCTTCCTTGATTATTCATTGTTAATTTATGACTGTAGAAGATATGTATGCCTCAGCCTTCTACGGACCTAAGTGACACAACTGCAAATGATCTGCTTTAAACTGGATGGGTTTATAATTTATATAAAAGTCAGTTTCGTTACAAATCAGTATTGCTGCCTCTTTCATTTTTCTGCCTAGATTGTCTGGAAATGACTGAAGTGTGTGCCTACATCATCTAGTTCTGTCAGCCCCTTGGTGAAGACAGATTATCCTGGTGCAGGGCAAGCAGAAAATCAAGTTATGTGCAAAGAGGGGAGGAGGTTGAAATGCTTATTGCTTTCCACCTGCAGGCTGGGTTCAGAAGGATGACTGCTGGGGGAAGTTTGGATGTGTCTGTTCTTTGATATGATCATCTGTCAATCTGCTGTTGAGGCTTGCTTGTACTTCATCCTGGCTTTCAGTGATAAGTACACAAGATACCTCCTCTAGTAGCACAAAAAAATCTAAAGTGCTTGAGAGGGCTGTGGCAATGCTATGGCAGTGGCCACCATGCCTGGCCTGCTGCTGCATATAAATGTATTATGCACCACCAGCTGCTCTCTCCTCTCTAACTCTTCCTGCTAATCTCTGCGTGGCCGTAGCGCTGAGGGCTGTCCCTGCAGGGCCAGACCCTGCAACCTGCCCTTTCGCCTGCCTTCATCTCCTGTGGACTTGCTGCTGGAAGCCGCCCGCTTGTATTTATATTTGTGGCG